GTCTTCCTCATGCATGTAGATCTGATGATATCCGCGGAATGCGTCGAGGAATGACATAATCTCGCATCCCGCGGTCTCATCCACAAGTTGATCAATGTTCGGCAGAGGGAAGGGGTCCATAGGGCACGCCTTATTCAGATCTGTGTAGTCCACGCACATGCGGAAGGTAGGAGGTTTTTGTGCGAGGACTACATTAGCCAACCAAGAAGGGTACTTCACCTCCTTAATGTGTTTGATGGAGAGGAGCATAGACACCTCTTTCTTTACGAACTCCCTTCTCTCGGCTGAGAGGGGTCTTCTCCGTTGCTGTACTGGTTTGGCCGAAGGGTCCACCGCCAGGCGGTGGGTGATAACCCTTCGGTCAATTCCCGGCATATCCTCCGGCCCCCATGCAAAAACGATGGAGTAGGCGCGGAGGGTCTTGGTGATGTCAGCCTTCAGGTCTTTGGGGAGCTTGGCTCCAATCTTCAGGACTCTCTCCGGCTTGGCCGGATCGAGTATCAAGTCTTCGGTGTCCTCGGCAGGCTCAGCCCTCGGCCTGCCTTCTTCTTCCTCTAGGGCCTTGGTGGTGATGGTGTCAACTCGAAATTCAGTTTTGCTAACCTTCTTGGTAAGCTGAAGGTAGCAGGCTCTGGAGAGTTTCTGATTCCCCCTCGAGTAACCGATGCCGTTAGGCGTGGGGAACTTGAGGCAGAGGTGCCTCATGGAGATGACAGCCTCCAAGTCTTCGAGGGCAGGCCGGCCGAGGATGATGTTGTGTGCGCAGTCGAGGTTGACGACGACGAACTCCACTTCGAGCTTGGCTCTATGGGATCCGTCCCCGAACTCAACCACGAGGGTGATGACGCCCTCGGCGTCTATGCTGTCCCCCGTAAATCCGGAGAGGGGGGTGTTGATGTGTCTGAGGGACCCCCTATCGAGTCCCAGCTCTTGGAAAGTGCTGAGATACATGACGTTGACAGAACTCCCCGTGTCGACGTAAGTCCGGTGGATGATGGTGTCGTTGATCTCAGTGCGGATGACGAGGGCATCCCTATGCGGCAGAGAACCCGAGGGGAGGTCCGCATCTGTGAAGAAGATGGGTTCCCCCCTCGGTCTCTTAGTTGGGGGCATGTGACTGACTTCCCCAATGTAAAGGGACTGTGCCCACTTCTTCCTTTGGCTTGTTGAATCGCCCCCGGTGTTTCCGCCGTTGATCATATGAATATGGCGCTTGTATTGTTGATGGGAGCCCTCTCCCTCATCATCGAGGCCCCCTATTTCTCGCTTCTTCCCCTGCGGGTTTCCCAAGGGGATGGTGTTGGGGTTCACCCACTTGTTGGCCTTCGGTGGAGGCCCTTGATGGTGAGGGGGGCCCTGGGGAGGAGGGCCCCGGATAAACTGAGATAAGTGGCCTGCCTGTATCAGCCTCTCAATTGCGTTTTTCAGTTGGTGGCAGTCGTCGGTCTTGTGCCCATGGTGGCGGTGAAAGCGGCAATATGGCTCATCAGGGCCGATGGCAAAAATCTCGAGGGGTGTGCGGGAGTCTCGCTCAACGAGCCCCCGCTCTTCCGCATGATCAAGAATGACACTGACGGGGTGCGTCAGGGGAGTGCGTGGGTGTTCCAGGAGGACGGGTTGTGCCCAAGCCTTCGGATTGTTCTTGTAACCACCCCCGGGTCTGGCTTGGCCACCCCGGGAGCGATCGTTGTACTGTGCCTCTCGGTGGACCGGAGGGGGAGGCCCTCCGGGCCGGTTCCTGCCTTCATTCTTTTGAGAAGGATCCGTGTTGCGGCGGTCCTTCTCGATTTCCTCCGCTTCAGCGTATCGATCCCCCCGCTGAAGGGCCTTTGTATAATCGCGGGGGGGATCAGTGATTAGGCTCCGGGAGAAGTTACCATTGCGGAGGACGGTGTGGAAGAGGGCCATCAGGGTCCTGTCATCGGCGCCTTCGACCTCGAGGGAGGCCTGCCTCCAGCGTTCCAGGAAACTCCGAAGGGTTTCCTCCTTCTGTTGTCTCACATTCAGAAGGTGGGAGAAGTGTTTCTTTGAGCGGTGCCTCCCGGCAAACTGCGTGAGGAAGCGGTGGGCAAGTTCTTGCCAAGAATCAATGCTGCCTTCGGGCAACCGGTTGAACCACTCATACGCTGGTCCCTCCAAGGTGGAAAGGAACCAACGGCATAAGTATTCATCCGATGCCCCCATCATCATCATGCTGTTTTGATAACGGCTATAGTGCTCCTGGGGATCCGTCTTCCCCTCATATGGTTTGATAGGTTGCCCCCGATATTTGTGGGGGATTTTGGCCGCCAACACCCTTGGGGTGAAAGGCGTCCTAGTGCGGAGCTGAATGAGGGGCTCGCCTGAGCCTTCGGCAAGTTTACGTTTCATTTCCTCCACCTGTGCCCGGAGGTCAGCGTACTCCGGATCTGGCCTCGCTGTGGAAGCCGTCGGGGGTGCATGTCGATTCTCCTCGAGTTGACGGAGGAGGGCTTCAATGATTTCGTCCTTGGGATCCTTCGGGGCAACCCCTTGGGAGTTGGCCCGGAAGGATTGCGCCTGGTTGATCTGGTGCCTGGCGTCATCGGCATGGAGGAGGGCTTTGCCTTTGCTCCGTGGGGGAGGCACGCCCTCGGCGCCCGAAGCAGAGGCTCCACTCTCCTGGGGCCTGCTGAATGCCTGTTTCCCGAGGCGGTCTTGGACCCCTCGGTGTCCGGGAGCCCCCCCAAGCCTCTCAAGTGCGGAGGTTCGGGGTTTCTCTTTCATCACGGGGCGCTTGTCCCTGGATTGGGCCTCTTGGGAGGCGGTATCCTGCGCCATGACCCCCTCGGCGTTTCCAATCCCCGGGGGAGGATTGTTGAACAGAGGGGGGAGCGGTGGCAATTGAATAACATTTCCTCCAGCGTAGGGCTGGAGGGGTGTCTGAGAGGCGAGGGCTCCGGAATTGAGAGCCATGTTTTGAACAAAGGCCGCAAAGGCAGCCTGAAGATCGATGGCCGGGGCCGGAGGGGGAACTTGGTTCTCACTCCGATCCCTCCTTCGATTATCAAGGCCAATGCGGGCATCAGGGGCGTTCTTCTGTAGTTGCTGACGGAGGTCAGCAGTAGCCTGCTCCAACTCAAGGATGATACCACCCTCGGGTACCAAGAGCCTGTTGGAGGCCTCAGCCCCAATGGTTTCGCCGGGGGCTATGTGGTTCTCCTCAAGGGTTTTGGACTGGGCACGGGTGGTTCTTCCCATTTTTGGTAAGTGTCTTGTGTTTGGTAGAGGGGGAGGGTTTCTTACTTGATAGTTCAGACCTCTCAACGAGAGCACCAAATGATGGATAGCCTACCCGGGGGGTATCTTATCCGAAGGGTTATTGCGGAAATAACTAGAGAGAAGTCAGAGCAAATAGGAGGAGAGAGAGTCGATTTTATTAAATGAACTCGAGATGTGGAGCTGAGATGTAGATTGTGTCGTTTACAAGGAGAAATGGGCTGCTATTTATAGCAGCAATAAATGCGATGAGAGGACACGTGTCAGTAATCCAACGGCCGAAGGGTCACATCAGCCTAGTGGCACCGGCAGTGGTACGTCAACCGCATTGAATGCGGTTGGTGGACGCGACGTGGCATTAAATGCGGTGGTTGGCTGTCCCTAAAAGGAATCTTCGATGATTGAGCTTGTTCAGCCGAAGGCACCTTGTGTTGCCGAGGGCTCCTTGTGTAGTCGAAGGCTCCTTGCGTAGCCGAGGGCTTCTTGTGTAGCCGAAGGCTTCTTGTGTAGCCGAGGGCTCCTTGTGTAGCCGAGGGCTTCCCCTGGCGCCGAGGGCATGAGAATGCCGAAGGCTCATGTCTTTGCCCATTTTCTTCCAGTAGCTTCTTATGCCAGAGAAGGCTATCCTGTGAGTTTTGGAGCTTTCGGCCAAGGAGGCCGAAGGCACCCCAGTGTGTATTCTGGGCTGCTTTGAGGCTTGGGCCGCGGTATTTGGGCCTGAGTTGTTTCCTGAGCTCAATGGACTTGTGTAGGAGAAGTGGGAGTCTACGGGCCGGGGGTTCCTGGGCCATATACTCCATCACTAACGATATTTATTAATGAAATCAAAGATTCATAAGTAAATGCCCAAAACCAGCAAATTAGAAAACTATAGTAGCTAATGTGCAGTACTTTACATGAGATTTACGTGTAAACGTAGAGCACATTTGGTAACACTGAAATTGGCTGATTCTGCTGCAATTTATGAAGTTATGACTGAAGTGACTGTATTGATTGATTCTGCTTATTTATGAAAAAATTATATTAAAATATTTGTTATTAATAAGTCTAATAAGGGGATGTTTGGATCTGATTCTTAAAACTGCTTCTGCTTATTCATGGAACAGAAGCAGAAGTTGGAGTGTTTGGGTGAAAGTGATGAAGTGATTCTGGTGCTCTAATTTACTCTTGGAATCAGTTTTTTCAGATTCTGGGGGGCAGCTTCTGAAAACTGATGATTCTGATTCTGCTTCTTCTTTAAAAAAGAAGTAGAAGCAAAATCAGATCCAAACACCCCCTAAAATTTACAAAAATAGTTCGAATGATCATCTACAGTAACTTCAGTCAATATACCCAAAAAAGTAACTATGATCTTATCTTTTCTTATTATTACACAAGTCAACGCGCGAAAATAAAAATTACGTGTTTTGATGAAAAATGTGACTGATAAACCTGATAAGCCGAAAATAGATATGATCAAACGGGCTCATAGTTTCTACTACCTCCGTCCCGTTGGAAGGTTCCCATAGCAAAACGACACGGTTATTTAGGTGATAATTAAATAAAGTACTTCGGGTATATTTTAAGAAATAATTTTAACAGGTATATATTATAATGTGTTAGTATTGATAACTGTGATGTTATAAATGTATTATTTTTAATATTTAAGGTCTAATTTATCACTTAAGATTTTTAATTGTTTCCGAAAATGGGACATCCAAACTCGGAAAGTGGAAACCTTCTGACCGGAAGCAGGGAGTAATTTAATTCATGTGAAATCTCAAGGACAAATGTGAATTTCGCATACTCCCTGTAATGTTCGTGTTTTCCCTGATTCAAAATTCTTCCTTATTCAAACCATTCCTCAATCCCGGAAAGACCCATTTTTTGTTATTCAACATTGAACCCTATATCTCCGGTACCAACTATGTTCATGTTCCTGCAAATATAGGTATACATACACGCCTGAGTCGCCTGACTGCTTGATAAGGTATATGAATGTATAAATAAATATCAGATTTACATATGGACACTAATTATACAGCTGTTCCTCCCAAGGATGTATTCGTCGAATTACAGCTGAAAGAAGGAGATTTTGAATCCGACATACCTCAAGAAAACGGGTATACTGAAAAGGTCAACGCAGACGATCTGGAATTAGATGATGGCATAGATTTAGACAATTTGCCCCTTATTTTCGGTGATGGAAATAAACCCGGATCAGGAATACACGGGGCTATTTTCAATCTCACAACAACCATCGTTGGGGCGGGGATTATGGCACTGCCAGCAGCAATGAAAGTCCTGGGTTTTATTTTAGGGTTTGTTCTGATAATCCTAATTGGCATCTTATCTGAAATGAGTGTTGAATTGCTTATACGTTTCTCTGTTCAGTGCAATGTGACATCTTATGGGGAAGTGGTTCATGCAGCTTTGGGTAAGACAGCTAGGATGTTATCTGAGACTTGTATAATTGTTAACAATGCAGGTGTGTTGGTTGTTTACCTTATTATAATAGGAGATGTTATGTCTGGTTCTGTTCACCACATTGGTGTTCTTGATCAATGGTTAGGTCAAGGTTTCTGGGATCATAGGAAGTTTGTGGTTTTGATCTTTTTGATTTTCTTCCTTGCACCACTTTGCGCGTTGGACAAGATCGATTCTTTAAGCTTAACATCGGGAGCTTCCGTGGCCCTTGCTGTGATATTCGTTATTGTTTCTTTTGTCATTGCCTTCGTTAAGCTTGTTGAGGGGACTATTGAAATCCCTAGAATGGCCCCGGATTTCGGGTCCACCAACGCAATCTTGGATTTGTTCGTCGTGATTCCTATAATGTCCAATGCTTATGTGTGTCACTTTAATGTGCTGCCTATTTATAATGAGTTAGAAGAGCGGTCTCCTGAGAAAATGTATCGGGTTGGGAGGGTCACAACTGTCATCTGTGTCCTTGTGTATGTTTCAACTGCTGTGTCGGGGTATTTGCTCTTTGGGAAAGAGACTGAATCGGATGTATTGACTAACTTCGATAAAGACCTTGGGATACCATTCAGTGCGGCTCTAACGTACATTGTCCGCATGGGGTATGTCTTCCACTTGATCCTTGTATTCCCCGTGATTCATTTCTCACTAAGGCAAGCCGTTGACGCGTTATTCTTTAAGGATTATGCTCCACTCACTGAGAGTCGAAGGAGGTGTTTGGCTTTGACTGTGGTTCTCTTAGGCCTTGTGTATTTGAGTTCAACGATGGTTCCTAACATTTGGACTGTGTTCAAGTTCACAGGAGCCACCACAGCCGTCTCTTTGGGATTTACCTTCCCATCTCTCATAGCGCTACAGCTTAGCAAAGAAGGGAACAGGTTGAGCAAAGGGGAGAGAAAATTATGTTGGCTCATGCTGGTACTGTCCATTATGGTGAGCATTTTGGGAGTGTGTGGCAACGTTTATAGCATCGAGAAGCTAAGCTAGTCGCCACATCGTTTGTTCATCATACAATAATAGAATGGTTGATCATGTGGAAAAGTGAATCTCTAGCTAGCCCACCACGTGCTGAGTGTGTGCCCTCCATCCAAGCAGTTATAATCCGTTATTATCTCCATATATTATTCCTGTATTGTTGGAGCAGGTAGTTTTATATATTTATTGTTGGTTTTTGATATATCTGCTTTGGCTTTTTTTTTCCCACAGCCAAATGGGTTACATGGTACGACAAGATATACCAAAGTTGTAATTTTGCCACTGTGGTAGTCCCATATCACAAGTTCACATCTTGGATTTGCAGGCGTTATATAATCTCTGTTATATTTTATCACTTATAGGTTCTACTACTTTGTTAGAGTGTGTGTATTAATTTTAGTGTGGGGCTCTTAGATCTAAAGTTAAAACATACACAGCGGGAAGAAAGAGAGCATTTTTTTGGAGAGCATTCAAAAATAATGTGGAGAACTGGAGATTACATCTTGTGTCCAAAAATAAGTAAACGGATCTGCCACCACCTAATTTAATTTTATAAATCCCTCTTCAAACCTACACGTTTTTGCGCAGGGAATCTCATTTATACACATTCTTATGAAGCACCTCAACCGAGAAGCATTACGTTTCTTTTCATCTATGTACCTGGGTCTGTGATCGTTTCTTGGAAGAGTTGATGTGCTCAAGGGGAGAGAAGTTTAGATGAAGAAATCAGATCGCACTAGCGGTACTCGCAAATGAGTCGATTATTTGTTTGGGAAGTAGCCGTGTGGTGTAAATTAGTTGTTTTTGGGAAAAGTACAGAAAACATACATGTGGTTTGAGCCATTTTCAGATAGGGGCATGCGTTTCATTTTCTAACAAAGTGGGGCACGTGTTTCAATTCCGTTATCATAGCAGGGGCATGGCGTTTAACGCTGTTAGAAAAATTAACTCCGATTTTAAAAAGTCTCCAAAAAATTAAAAGAAAAATACTGGGAGGTGCGCCTCGTCAAGGAGATCAACAAACACTCTTTCTCTTTGGATTTTTCGGCTCTATTTGAATTATTTTTTTAAAAAAATCGCTAATATCAATTTTCTTGTGGACTTTCTGGAGATATGGTGGCTGGAAACAAAAAAAATAAAGATAGTTTGTTGATCTCCTTGACGTGGCGCACCTCCCAGTATTTTTCTTTTAATTTTTTGGAGACTTTTTAAAATCGGGGTTAAGTTTTCTAACGGCGTTAGATGTCATGCCCCTGCTATGATAACGGAATTGAAACACATGCCCCACTTTGTTAGAAAATGAAACACATGCCCTTATCTGAAAATGGCCCAAACCACAGGTATGTTTTATGTACTTTTCCCTCTCTTTTTTTACTCCAGAGGGTCTGGGAGAGTTTGGAGTAATCAGAACTGAAACTCACTCCATTGAGTTTCAAACTCTTATGTGCCTAGCGGGTTTCGAACTCAAGACCTCTCGCTAGGCCGTGTGGTGTTAATTAGGTTTATAGGTTTAAAGGTTAGTAGTCAATGTGGGATAATTGGCTTGGTCCACAATATATAAAGTATATTATGCAAGATAAATATTCTTGTCAGGATTTTTCTAATTGTAACGTCGTCCCGCCACCTCCATTTAAAGTGCTTTCGGGTGAATCTTTATATGAAGTTTCTTGATCATGTTCTATATTAAGTGTAAAGTATGTCTACCAAATTTCAGTTTGAAATTCAATCAGATAGTTTGTTAAATAAATTATTGAAAAACACTATGTTTTTTATACATATTTTGACGTAAGGTTTTTCAATAATTTATTTAACTGACATCTCAATTAAATTTTAAAATTAAATTTGGTAGACATATTCTACCCTTCATAAAGAATAAATTCACAAAATTTCATCAAAAAATCCGTTAGGAATCTTTTACTGTGTCAAATTATTACGGAGTATTATATTGTGTCTTTGTAATGTAATACTCCCCCCGTCCCAATTTGATGGTCTCATATTTCTTTTCTGGGTCGTCCCAAATTGATAGTCTCATTTCCCTTTTTGGAAAGAAATATGTGGTCCACATTATTTCACTTTTTTCTACTCAAATCTTAACCACAACTTTTACCTTTTCAACCACAACTTTTACCTTTTTAACAACTTTCTTAATCTTTGAGTCCAAAAGAAATGAGACTCTCATTTTGGGACGGAGGTAGTAACAACTTTACTTTTGTTTATTCGGATGTATTTATTGTTTATTGATAATGGCAAAGTGAAGTGTCACTTTCCCAAGTCTATTCTGTCAATAGTACTGGGACATCAATGCATATCCATATGCAACCTGGGCAGGGACGGATCCAGGATTTTGAGTCAAGGGGGGCGAAATTTTTCGTTAGTGTAGGGGGTGATTTTTTTTTTTGTTAGTGCAGCGGGGTGAAATTTTTTCCCCTAGTGTAGCGGGGCGAAATTTTTTTGCTACTGTAGGGCTATGCGGCTATTTTTATTCAAAAAATGATATTAATACTTGCACATCCCGAACCGGCATTCAAATCTATTACATTCTAAGTTTAGATGATGACAAAGACATCAACCAATACATTTTTAATAATTTCTATATTGTTTAACCTCATGAATCGGTTATTGAATTGTAATTTTTGTCCACCAAGGAGGGTGGTCGTGAGTCATGACTCATGAGAAGTTTTCTTAATATTACAATAGTAGTATACTAGTATGTATGAGATTGTTATTTTTAGAATAATATGCACCACACACACACACATATGGTGCATATTATATTTTAATATTTTTATTAATTCTATAATAATTTAAAGTTTATTATCCATGCAGTAAATTATTTTTAGAAAGCAAGAAGTAAATGAATTATGTAATCTAATGTCTATAAATATTTATATTTTGGATTCATTTCATGTGATCTAAAAATTGTGTAATTAGTGTGTCTGGTATTTAATATTGTTTGATATATGTTTTACAAAATCCTGTACTTGTTATCTAATAAAGATAATTAAACATTACAAAACTAGGAATTCTTATATAATAAGTATCTTAAATCTTAAATAACGAGTTACTCTATTGTTTATTTGTTTAAGTTATGTAAATTATTTTAGATGTTTCTTCTTTTAAATCTCCAATTAAGTATTACATTACGTAAGACTATATACTAATTTTGAAAATTAAAAGCTAAGGGGGGCGAATATAATTAAATTATGAAAGTTTTATGAAAATATTACATATATGGTAAAAAAAATTGAATGTCCAAGGGGGGCGGTTGCCCCCCCGCGCCCCCCCCCCTAAATCCATCCCTGAACCCGGGTCTCAATAGATTATGAACCCGTTTGGTAATATTAAAATTGAAATTTATAAAGTTCTGGCTGGAGTAACTCTATTGGCTGATTCTGCTGATTCATGAAAAAAAAAATTAAAATATTTATTATTAATAAATTAAATAAAAAATTATATGAAAAAATAGCTAAAATGATCATCTACAGTAACTTCAGTCAATATAGTCAGAAAAGTAACTCCAACCTTACCTTTTCTGCTTATTACAAAATTCAGCGCGCGAAATCAAAAGTTACGTGTTTGGTGAAAAAGCTGGTTGATAAGCCTGATAAACCAAAAATATGGGTTACCAAACGGGCTCAATATTTGAATTATTCATCCTAAAATCAGCTCCAACCCAATGTATTTTGGGAGGCCAAAGTGGGTTAAAGGAACTCCATGAGTGGGAATTGGCCTGTTTATTGACAGAAGCAAGAGAAGGTAAGGACGGAGCTGGCAGCAGCAATATTGATGTGGTCCATGCGAAAGTTACATCCCATTTTTATTTAAATGGGCATATCTTTTTTTTATTCCAACTTTTTTAAAGATATGTTGAAATTTGTAATTTTTTATTGTCTTTCAAATGACATCAATATTGCATATGAAAAATTTTAAAAAAATAAATGAAGTTTTAACTGTGAAGGATTTTTCAGATCCAAAAACTTTTTTAAATAGATTCAAGTGCTAAAATTAAGATTTTATGATCAATTCTTTTTTTGCATCTTTCACTTATATTTTCCAAAAAATGGGTATGAAATAGCACCAAAAAAATTAAATTCCAAATTTATTTATTTTTATATCAAATGTTTGATTTTTTTAAATCATTACTATTCCAGTAATGTTTTTAAAAAATAACTGATGTATAATGATAAAAACAACACTTTAACTAAAAAAACTTTTGTTGGGTGAATGTATTGACGGTGTTGGATTGTATCAAAAATTGAATTGATTGAGTGAATACATATAAATTAGTGGGGAATTTGATTTATTGATGGTATGGGTTGCAGTTAGCCTTAGAGCCGGAACAATTACGAAGTACTCTCTCCCTCCTTTAAAATTTTGCCAACTTTTTTTTTTTTGGATGTCCCACTAACTTTGTCACTTCCCTTTTCAAGTAATGAATTTGTGGTCCAATTAATTTTCTCTCCTCTGCACAAACCTCAACCACACAGTTTTTACTTTACTAATCTCTGTGCTTGTCAAGCATGACAAAGTTTTAAGGGATGGAGCCGCCGTAGGGCTGAGCAAAACCCGATCCGATCCGAAAAACCCGATATTTTTTTCGGATATTATCCGAACCGAAGTGGATATCCGACCTGAAAAATCCGAAACCGAAAATCCGATTAAGTTTGGGCCTAGACCGGGTGGTGGGTAGGGTTTGTAAAATCCCAACCCGACCCGCCCGAATATCCGAAATACATGTCAGTGTGTACTTTGAATATGTTAAATTAATACTTGTGTTCAACTATTTGTGTAATTATTTGTGCAATTTGTATTAAATTATTTGTGTAAATTGAATGTGTAGTGCACTAGTGTGTACAATTTTTGACAAAGTGGCATTTAAATACTTTAATTATCCAATTATAATGTGTTTTAATATAAGCGAAATATCCGAAATATATTAAATTATGTAGTGTGTACTTTGAATGTGTTAAATTAATACTTGTGTTCAATTATTTGTGTAATTATTTTTGCAATTTGTGTTAAATTATTTGTGTAATTTGGATGTTTAGTGCACTAGTGTGTACAATTTTTGTCAAAGTGGCATTTAAATACTTTAATTATCCAATTATTATTTTTAATATAACCGAAATATTCGAAGCCGACCCGATATCCGATAATATCCGACTTAAAAATATCCGAAATACCCGATTTGAAATATTAAAGGGTCGGGCCTAGTATTTAAATTAAAAAACCCTAACGGGTTTAGGGTTTGCAAACCCGACCCGCCTGAACCCGACCCGTGCACAGCCGTAGATGGAGGTAGTATTATTTTATATACTCCGTATTATTCAGTTATCTATTAATATCTAAAGGAGCAGTTTTTTGTGAATAGTGTTCCCTCCCATTTATGTCAACATCATGCCTCTTATCATTATAACATCAAAAACAATTACAAAATCAATTTTTGTGCTGAGATTTTTCAAGCCTGAGAAATTAATGTGCTGAAGTTGGTGATGTTAGTGGTGTCCGGTTTTTACTGGCCAATAAATCGGCAAACTGTTCAATCCTCATCCGCATGTGTTTCTATTGGGTAATGAGGTCGGTTGCACTGTTTTTATTATAATAGTTAGGTTTGCTTGAATGGCTGAGATTGATTGTGGAAAAGTTTTGGTTGAGATACAATACTCCTATTGGTTCAGACGGTTGGGCAAATCTACATGAGCATGTGGGAATTGAAAGGCAAGATTTGGTGTCTTTGAATGCTTCATTTCTATTGGTGGATGAAGAGGTGGATACAGTGCGCCAGATCATTTACCTGACAAAAAAAGATTTGATGAGTGGGGTTTACTATTCCAGAAGAGAAGCTAATACTCTCTCTGTATAAATAACGCATACGAGTATAAAAATATCTAGAGGTTTGTGAGTGGGTGGTACTGTTCTCTGACATGACCATACTCACAGTTTGACTATACCAATTTTTGCTATAAAAATAGACTTCAACCATTCACTCGCAACAACAGGGTGCTCATAGTCTCATGCAACCAATGCTATACAAATTCTATCAAAATGGTGAGCAGTTCTAAATGTTTAAAATTTTTATTTAAATCTTATTATTTCATCTGTATTAATTTATTTCCTTATTAATTGTTTAAAAATCCTAAACAAAGTTATTAAATGAATCGTATTTAAATGTGTGTGTTTTCTTCAAAAGAATTCTACGAGGCTCAATGATCCATGCTCACATTTTCGAGCAGCTCATAACTAAATCTCATGAACTTTGCAGAGAGGGTGTTTGCTGAGCAATTCTATATGTTTTTGAGATTAGGTTGAGTGGTCTGTAATAAATTTGGCAAAGCATTTCAAGGGTTTTGAAAATTTGATGTTTGCAAGGATAGATGCTTCTGTTAAGGAACATCCCAAACTCCAGGTTGATGACTATCCAACATTGTTATTCTACCTAGCAACAAACAAATCAAACCCATTAAAACTTCCTACAAATTCAAGCTTAAATTCAAGCTTAAAAGACTTGGCAACACAAGATGGTGAAAGAGCATGGAACCAAAAGCAAAGATGAGCTCCAGGGAACTTTTCAAACATTGAAAATAGTAACAAAAATGTCATATATAAAACGTAAACCTATGCATTTTCATGTGCTTCAGAAATACTACATCATTTATAGTTTTTTATTGCATTAGACAGGGTATATCATCAGGCAGAAAATAGTATAGGTATAATGGTATATCATTGGGTTTAATGCATCTAAGCAGATCTTTTTTTAAAAAAAGTCATTCTGTATTTTAAATTTTCAGAAAATGTTTTTTTTTTTTGTAAAATTTGTGTTTTTGGATAGATGAAATTCATGCATGTATAATCAAAATCATTTTTTGCAACAAAAAAAAAATAACAACTGTGGGAGTGAAATACATAGATCTACTATATTTGTAGGTTGTGGATGTGGTGTATTTACAAATACGTCCGATTGGATTGTTTTAAGGGACATCTAATAGGTGAGATTGAGATGTATAGTAGAGGGAGTGTATTATTACCGTGTTTAACGACATTTGAGCGGCGAACGAGGTTTCCGAGATGGCGGAGGACTACCTAGGTTGATTCATGGCTGCCGGCGACGCTGGTGATTGTGGTGGCAGAGAATCGATGTCTGACCGGGGGGTAGCGTGATTGAAAATTGACTGGGTTGTGAGGTTTCATGCGTGGTTGGTTGGAGAGATGGCCTGGCGGATTCATTTTGAACAAAATAAATGGAATGTTGGGAAGAAAGGGCTGGCCGGTTGATTTGGAACGGAAGAAGTGGAGTGTTGGGGAGTTATGATTAGCTCATTGGTTTGAAGTGGATTAGTGGAATAAAGGGAGGTTGGGTACAAGTGAAGGGTTGGCTCTAGAGAGGGATTGTATGGAGCAATAAGGTGGGTTGTTGTGGTTGGGCTTAATATTAAAACAATAGATGAGCTTCTTATCCTGGGCCTGTCAAAATATAATGGCTTTACATATCCGCTCGGGATATGTCCATAACACTCATAAATGGTTCTAAGTAAAAATTACTACCTCTGTTCCAAAAATATCTTCCCACTTACCTATTTCAGATGTTCCAAAAAATTCTTCTCATTTCCCTTTTTGGAAATGTTTGTGTGACTATCATTTATTTACTTTTTTTTACTCAATCACAATCATACATTTCCATTTTATTCTCACTTTCTTAAACTTCTATCCATGTCAAATTGGGTAAATTTTCTAGGACGAGGGGAGTTTTAAATTTTTTGTTACAGATGGGCACAACAAATTAAAAAATAAATCATCTTTCATTAATATACCCATGATGTCTACTTCTGTAAAAAAAAAAGGTTGAATAGACACTTATGGGGCCGTTTGGCAACACTGTTTTTCGGCTTATCAGGCTTATCAGCCAACTTTTTCACCAAACAAGTAACTTTTGATTTCGCGCACTGAATTATGTAATAAGCAGAAAAAGTAAGGTTGAAGTTACTTTTCTGGCTGTATTGGCCGAAGTTACTGTAGATGATCATTTTAGCTATTTTTACATTAATTTTTTTCTTTATTTTATTAATAAAATATATCTTAAAACTAATTTTTTCTTAACTCAGGCTGCTGCTCCGTGCGAGCACTCGAGCAGTTGGCTCCACAGCAGGCAGCTGCTGAGGCGTTACAACGCCATAAATGCCCAACGTTCCTTTGCAATAAATGGACGGTTTTTTGGACAAATCAATGCCAACGAGCTGGACATTGATTGCCAACGTTCATATCCATTAAACCTCCATTAACACACCTCCAAATCCTTCCTATAAGTAGCTGGCAGGTGATTTGCAACAAACACCACTCACAAACGTACTCACACAGTTTTTGAGCTCTAGAAAAACACCTCCAGTTTCCGAAATTCCTTCTGTGTTCTAAGCCTTGTTCTCGTTCGTTGGAACTTTAGTTTGAGTGCTAAACTATTGTTCGAAGTCATCGTATCCTGGGAAACGATCATTGCAACGCTCCTAGCATCCCGGGAGGCAACGAATACGTTTTAAGGAAATCGTGCTTGGCACGAGCTTTGGCTTATTCTGCTTCATCTCTTTTCTCATTTTTCCTTTAAGTCATTTTATTTAATTAATTTTATTAATTATTTTCGTAGTTTTTCGAAACACACCCAACAATAGATTTAACAATGATCGACTAAAATATATCAACAAGTGGAAAGTAGCAATGTCAAGTCCCTTTTATTCTTGAATTAAATCTCATATAAGTCGTAATCTTCGTGTTTAATTTAATTAAATCACTCAATCCAAACCCCCTTTATTTACTAGTTACATAAAAATATAATTATTCCTTTCTCTGTGGATACGAACTCTACTTCACCTATACTACGTATAAGTGTTAGTATTGAATATTATTTTGACGCACCGTGACAAAGTGCTCGTTAGTCATCCAAAGCACATTTCCAATACCTAGCATTTGTCGAAATAATGTGATTTTTAATGTCTGGATTGTTACTCATTGGGCAATGTATGTAATTTTTGCATGCCATAATTCTACACATTTGAGAAGAGTTAACTTTGAATACTTTTTTATTGTCAAGCAATCCTCTTGTAGATGATCTTACAGTTACCTAATACATTCATTAGCCAAAGAAGTATGTAGTGCAATAATTACCGAGAAGTTGTGATGTACATTTTATATTTTTTTGTGGCATTAATAAATCTCGATTAAGCCACAATCCATGAGCAAAAAGTTGTCTGAAATCAGTGTCAATTTATGAGCAGAATATCAAAACGACAATGTATGAGCACTATATGAGCAACAATGTCTAATATTTAGAAGTCAGCAATTTCAACTAACATGTTTGAAAAGTACATCAAATAGCATTTTTGCGTGATTTTGAAGACCTTTTTTGGGGGGAAATAACTAAAGCCAAGCATGTAGATGGGTAGCCGCCATCGACTTTTAATTGAGAGTATTATCGTTTCTCTAGTTTAATTTTAGGTTCTACTCTCTCCGTTCTATTAGCAATGAGACAAGAGGGAATGACACACAACCCAAAAAAATGATTTATGTGATTGATATTGAATTGATAAAGTAAGAATGGCTTATAGTCACACAGATTTTACCAAATTTTGTATGAAACAATACTAGTGGAACAGACTAAAAGATAAAAGGAGACAACCTTAGCTGAGACGCAACAAGTAGAAGTTGCACAAATTCTATTGAATTTTGGAAGTGAGGCGTGACTGGGTCTTACTTGGGAAATTTTGCCCGGATTCAATTGAATATTGGGAGAGGAAGTGGAATATTTCAACGTTTGGGCAGCGGTAGGTGAGTTGAAAGGGCAAAGCATACATACATACATACTCCAATAAATACCTCCTCCCTTAGCTTTTCATCCATCACTAGCAACCATCCGCCCGAAGGAGTAATATATAATTAACTCTCTCTGCCTGCGATCATCGATCATCATGCCGTTGGTTCCGGGGCAAGTGGTATGCGTTACCGGCGCCGGGGGCTTCATCGCCTCCTGGCTCGTCAAACTCCTACTCCAAAAAGGCTACACTGTGAGAGGAACGGTTAGAAACCCAGGTTCGATGTTGATTAATAATTAGCTTATATATGATGATGTGCCCATTGAATAAATATAATGAATGAATGGATTTGGTTGCAGAGGATGAGAAGAATCGGCATCTGAAGGAGTTGGAGGGTGCAAATGAGAGATTAAGTCTGATCAGAGCGGACCTTCTCCATTATCAGAGCTTGCGTGAAGCCATCGACGGTTGTGATGGCGTTTTCCACACTGCTTCACCCGTCACTGATGATCCCGTAAGTCACGCCTAGCCTAGCTGCTTTCTTCATCCACTACCTTATGGCCAGAGTATTCTTCCATTTCTATTGCTTTATCCCTTTTCTTCAATTTCTTTTTTCTTAAGCATCCATATATTCATTCTTTTGAAAACTTTCATTTCTATTCTTTCAAATCTAGCTTTTTTCCTATTATACCCTGTCGCTTTTTCTTAATCACTTTCACATCATAATTCACATTATGTTGTTTCACGCCAACAACCAGAAAAATAAGTGCAAACATTACGCGTACCGAATTGGTGTACAAATTTTATATACTCACCTCCTTATCTATTACAAACTAGCTAGTTTTTTCTTTTTGTTCAAAAAATACATCAAACACTTCTACCATTTAAACTTTTCTACTGCAAACTGATATAAAACACCCAAAATTTATACTTCCTTATCTCATTAAACTTGGGCAAATTAACTTTTACTAATTCATGATAATCAAATTTGACTAATTTATGAAAATAATATTTTTGTTATAAATAGTTTCATAAAAGTGTACAACTTAAAATTTTCACACAAAAATGGAGGGATTATTTTAGAGCCGTCACTATATCATTACTAGGGGTGGACTCGGGCCTGGGCCCGGCCGGGCCTCGGTTCAATTTAATTTTTTTTTGGCTTTTCCTAATTAACCCCCAACCCTCCCCCTCACCCCCAAACCACCCCTAATCGTTTCTCCTTTCGAAAATAGATGGAGAGTCGTTTGGACGGTTGGGTAGCACGAAAATTGGCTGATTCTGCTGAAATTTATGAAGTTCAGGCTGAAGTGGCTGCATTGGTTGATTCTGCTGATTTAAGGAAAAAATAATTTTAAAATATACTCTGTATTTTATTAATAAAATAAAGAAAAAATTATATATAAAAATAGCTAAAATGGTCATCTACAGTAACTTCATCTGATACAACCAAAAAAGTAACTCCAACCTTTTTTTTTCGGGATAAGGCTCAAATTGGACACTATGGTTTCATCAGAATCTCATATTTGACACTAAGGTTTTAAATGGACCAAATTAGACACTATGGTTTCATATGTATCTCATATTGGACACTAAAGTTTCATAATTCAATATAAGTGAGTGTCCAATTTGATCTTTATCCAATATAAGTGACTGTCCAAAATCTATGAATTATGAAACTTTAGTGTCCAATATGAGATACATATGAAATCATAGTGTCTAATTTGATCCATTTGAAACCTTAGTGTCAAATATGATATTCTCATGAAACCATAGTGTCCAATTTGAGCCTCATCCCTTATTTTTTCCGCTTATTACACAATTCAGCGCGCGAAAGAAAAAGTTACGTGTTTGGTGATAAAGTTGACAGTTAAGCCCGATAAACTGAAAAACAGTATTGTAAAACGGGCTCGTAGTAAAAAAGGGGGGGTTTGTCTATGTCAATTATTTTTTTTGGTCCATATTTAATTTAACATCAATCTTCACCCAAGCATTCCGGTCCGTCTGCTTGTGAGGTTACCGTGCTTAGTGGGAGGTTTCAAGTTTGAATCTCACTAGGTACACAAGGATTAGAAATTCAATGGAATGAGTTTCCGGCCATTACCCTAGGTCCCTAGCCCCCCTGACTCCTGGAGTAAAAAAAACTTAGTTTGTTGTCGTTAATTAGTCATTGTTGGTATGGTGGTTGGTGAGAATATATCGGTCTGCAATTACGTACGTAGTACATTATACGGAGTAGGTATTATACTCCATCCATTAAAATTAATATAATACGTAGTAATAATGTGTAATCATATTGCTCGTGACTTCTTGGATGTGCGTATAGGCACCGCATCTTTCTATATATTTCGTTTTGTAGTGCTCGAGATACTTTAACTTTGGGCGTGTTTCTCGCACTCTGATTGTCATGTTTATTTATAGGTACATTACTTTTTTTAATCTTGGATTTTCGGGAGGTTAGGAAACATCTCACTTATTTATTTAATTAAAGAAAGCAAAAAGTACATGAGCAAGGGGCAGACCATAGCTTACTTTTACACTTCTTAGTTTTAAATTAATGTTACATTTTTTTGTAAATGATGTGACATTCTTAGATCTTAGAATAAGGTGATCTTTTGTGGGCCCAATATTCCCGTTAATAACTTGTCAATTCCAATTTCACAAATACTCCGTAACATGCATTCATATTTTGATCACCAATTATTCTACCAAATAACTTATGAACAATTTCACAAATAATATCCACTCAACCATCCTCTCAATAATAATGAGCTATGTGACCAATTTCATTCCTTGATATAATATAATATAATACTCCCTCCGTCCTGTTACAAGGTTCTCACTTTCCTTTTCTGGATGTCCCGTAGTAGGTTCTCATTTTCATTTTAGCAAATAATTAATAATCTTAAGTGACAAATTAGTCATTAAATATTAAAAATAATACATTGGATAACGGGATAAGGGTCAGTTTGGTCCTCGAAGTTGCAAAAAAGGGGTCAAATAAGTCCTTATATAGAAAATTCTGTCCGGACGTGCCATTTGAGGTGGCTCCCGTCGGAATTTTTTGATTAATTTTTTTGAGCATCTTATTCATTAAGTCTAGTTTACTCATACCAAATTGCAGATAAAAATTCAATTGGGAGGACATTCAAATGAATTCTTGAAGATAACTGTGCCGTTAAAAGCGCAGTTATCTTCAAGAATTCATTTGAATGTCTCCCCGATTGAATTTTTAGCTGAAATTTGGTATGAGTAAACTAGACTTAATGAATAAGATGCTCAAAAAATTTCATCAAAAAATTCTACCGGGAGCCACCTCAAATGGCACGTCCGGACAGAATCTTCTATATAAGGACTTATTTGACCCCCTTTTTGCAACTTCGAGGACCAAATTGACCCTTTACTCCATTGATAACTTTGATGTTATCAATACTAACACATTATAATATATACCTGTTAAAATTATTTTTCAAAATACACCCGAAGTACTTTATTTAATTATCACCTAAATAATCGTGTCGTTTTGCTATGGGAACCTTCTAGCGGGGCAGGGGCAGTATTAGTAACTAATTCGTGTAAGAGTAAATGAAACTTAACTTATAGATTGAACTTTTCCTCACTCATCCATAGTGTAGAGTAGTAATTTAATTATTTGGTTGAAGTTTTTCTGGAAATGCTATGATATCTATAAAAAGTGAGAGCATGATACCTATCATGCATTTTATTCGGCCAAGTCATTATTTTATCATATATTTATGTTTAAGACATGAGAAAATGAAATGAAATGTGCATGAATGAAGGAGGAAATGGTGGAGCCGGCGGTGATAGGGACGAAGAACGTGATAACGGCAGCGGCGGAGGGTGGCGTGGGGCGGGTGGTGTTCACATCCTCAATCGGCGCGGTGTACATGGATCCGAATAGAGATCCGGACACGGTTGTGGATGAGAGCTGTTGGAGTGATCTGGAGTTTTGCAAGAACACCAAGAATTGGTACTGCTACGGGAAGGCGGTAGCGGAGAAGACGGCGTGGGAGGAGGCGAGGAGGAAAGGAGTGGACATAGTGGTGATCAACCCGGTGCTGGTGTTAGGGCCGTTGCTGCAGCCCACTGTGAATGCCAGTGTGCATCACATCCTCAAGTACTTGACAGGCTCCGCTAAAACTTACGCCAACTCCGTCCAAGCTTATGTGCACGTCAAGGATGTTGCCCTCGCCCACATTCTCCTCTACGAAACCCCCGCCGCCTCTGGCGGTCGCTACCTCTGCGCCGAGAGCGTTCTCCACCGTGCCGACCTTGTCGACATTCTGGCCAAGTTCTTCCCGGAATACCCTATCCCCACCAGGTATTACTTAATTAATTAAGCTACCTATCTCCGGTCATCAGTTTTATTATTTAATTAATTGGATATATGTATATGTATGTCACTGCTCACCTAATTTTGATTTCATGCCCATCTTTTATGATATGATATCATTTGTGGGCAATTGTTGTTGCAAATAATATAATATATGGAGACAATATACATATATAGTCAAACATGGATACTATTGACGACAAAAGCACATCAAAACAATGGAAAGTAATTTGACAATTGAAGCAAAGTCCTTGTTTCCACGACTTCATTTACAACCTTTGACAAAAAAGCATCTCTTAGTTTACTTTTTGTCTCATACTACTTATCAAATCAAATTTGATAAAATATGTATAGTTCTAAGGGTATGTTTGGCAAATGGCTGTTAGCTGTTGTTGTTAGCTAGTTGTGTCAGCTGTTTCCTAACAGCTGGTTGTGTTAGCTGTTTTGACCGGCTGGTTATGTTAGCTGATTATAGATAATTGTTTGGTAAAATTGGTTGTTTCGAAATGGCTGATAGAGTGTAAATTGAACCAGCCGAATGAATAAGCTGCCCCCCTTAGCTTCTTCAACAATCCATTTTTTCAGCTTTTTAAACTCAACAAGCTAATTTTAAAAGCCATTTACCAAACATCATTATTAGCTTCTTTGACCAATCAAACAGTTCAAATGGGTCAAACAAGCTAAAAGCCGGCTGATAAGTCATTTGCCAAACATACCCTAAATCTTTTTTACTTTATTCTTACTTTATTAATTCAATATCAATCACATAAATCAAATTTTCTTAATAATTGCACCACTTCCCCATGGTATTATTTGGTAGTACTCACTACTATCACATCGGGTGGCGCTCATCGGTTTTCTTTTGCCAATGTGTAAACCCTTTCCTAATTAATTATCTGTCTTACATATACCATTGTTAAGACATGCTATGTTTTAGTGATGAGTAATAATGGGTTTTAAAATGTAGTCATAAATTTCCAAGTGCATTGAGTGTACAGGTTTGACAAGGGTTAAGAATCTAAGATGATCATGAAGTAAAGTAAGTTTTTGACTGATTGTAAGGAGCAACAAGATGATCAAGATTTGTTACAGAGTAGCAGTTTTTTTATGAAAATTATATCCTGAATTAAAAATTATATCCTGAATTATATCCTTGATTTAGTCTATATATAGTTAAACGATGGCTCGTTGCTACAAAGTTGCTGAAACAAACGAGAGCGTTACGTTGTGTAGTCAATCTCTTTTCCTTTGTTTGTATGAAATTTAGGTGTTCTGATGAAACAAAACCGAGAGCAAAACCGTACAAATTCTCTAACCAGAAGCTAAAGGACTTGGGGTTGGAGTTCACGCCAGTTAAACAATGCCTATATGAGACTGTGAAGAGCCTCCAAGAGAAAGGTCATCTTCCCATACCACCCATCCCAAAATGATCATATCCCAATTGGTTCAAGATCAAAATATGATATGGAATTCAGCAGTCAATAAGTATTTCGATGATAGAATTATTGTATTGTATATTGTATTGTCTTCAAATGTTGTAGTGTCCGACTAGGGTATTATACTTTGGTACGGATAAATGAGTAGAATTTTTTGTCTTTTGAATATGCATTTCATCTCAAAACAATGATATTTATAATTTACAAATAATGTATAACTCAAAAAAACATTGTGATACAATTCTTAATCGCTCTTTGATACGAGCACATATATCTTGCAGTCGGGTATTTTTGTAATATCTTACAAGTTTAAGTTCAAGTCTGTTTGTTGAATTCTCACACCGAATATATGTGAAGGCATTAATGTATGATAACTATGGGAATGTTAGATTACTGGGTATGTTAGATAGATGGGAATGTGATTAATGTATAGCCTATTTGTGTTTGGTTACGATTAAGGAATGTCACATTAAGTTGTTTGGTTGAATGATATCTTTTATTGCATATTTGGTGAATTACTTGAATGTCATTTATATATTTGTCTCTTAACACATTAAACTTATCAATTATTAGAAAATGTATTTCATGTTTTAATTTTTTTTTCTCAATTTTCAATTGTAGTTCATGTTTCAAATAAATATACTTTAAGTTTTTATATGTAGCACTTCTTGAATTAATTTTTAGACATGAATTAGAAAAATGTACCCGGCCCGACCCGTTACTCGGGCGGGTAGACCGCCCCGAACCGGTACTGGTCAACAGCCGTTCCGGTCCCGGGCTTCATTCCCAAAAAGCCAAGCCCATCCGGGCCTGACCCGGAATCAGACTGGGCTCGGTCCACATCTAGATATTTCGATTAATGAAGCATAGGTTTTTTTTTGGAAGAAAATTAATAAGCCATCAGGAATCTAACATAACCTAAGGCATTGGTGGGTTTGACATGCCTGGTAATGTGATCACCTTTTCCACTTTTGGGAATGTAACATTCCCAAAAGAAAAAATCAAACCCGCGAACCAAACACATGTATCTCACATTCCGGGCATGAGATTCTGCCATGCATAAGATATCACCTTGAACCAAACACTCCCGTGTTATATTAAGATGTGGATTACTCCTCCTATCAGGTTGACCTTTTAGGATGGAACTTCAAGTCTAAACATGATATCAAAGTCTAATCGATCCATGGTGTGGCCCCCTTATGAAAAGTGATTGACATGATTATTTAAAAAATGACAATAATGAATCGGTGAAAAAAATGAATGACGGCACGATCCAAACGAAGTGTTTGGTCGTGAGGAGGGTGTTGAATTCCCACACCGGATATTTGTGAAGGCATTAAGTGCTATATTAAAATATGGATTACTTCTCCGATCAGGTTGACCTTTTATGAACACCGTCTATACTTTTTTGGCTAACTCTCCTTCTCCTTCTTTATTTCTTTTCTCTTTTATTATTAATTTATTTTTATATTTTTCTTATACATTCTCTTATATCTCCAACTTGATGTTATACTAAAAAAATTCGTTACTTATTAAACAAACAACTTTTAAAGTGAATTTTGTTGTACAACACACATGTCGATGAACTAATAGTGGGAGTGATGATGTACAATGAGGGACTGCTTCACATCATGGTGCATACAGATTTGTATTCGTATTTATATTATATATATATAAATTGTTCATGCAATATCCTCAAAGTGTAGTCCATGTATACATTTTTACATACAGATTTCAAGCACATTTTTAATAAACCAGAATATAAATACGAATACAAATCAATTTTTTTGGTTCAAATGTGTTTCAAATACAATACAAATAAGTATGTATTCGATTTGAAGAATAAAGTTAGAGTTGTTTGACTTTGATATATACAATTATCAACTTATTTCACACATTATAAGTATAATTTCTAATATGTGTGTGTTAGTGTTTATTTTAAAAAGTTTGAAATAGACTCATATTTATTAATCATAAAATTAATTCACTTTAGTATATTGCGCACCATCTAAAAATGCATTGATCCAATAAATTTAAATTTTAAAAACACATGTTAAGTCATAGCATACATTTACAACATAAACAATACGGAGTATAAGAAAAGTTATTTTAAGGTGATATTTGACTAATAATATTTAACATATGCTCAAATCGATTCGATATTCGTATATTATTCGTTAACTATTCGTATTGTTAAACAAATACAAATACAAATCGAAATTAATACTTCGTATTCGTTTCATATTTGAATTCGAATTTGTATTAAAAAAATTAAACAAACACAAATACAATTACAAAATCTCATTTTTTACAGATGTGACCCACTTGCTAAATCATGTATAGTATTTAATGTGTTGCTTTCCGTCGGTTCCCAACTTTCCCGTCAATTCACATATAGGCCTGCTGACCCGCCGAAGCAATGATGCAAGGACTGGGACCGTTCGCCTGATGTCAGGCGCGAGCATCTGTCCCGATGCTGAGCTTGTTTACTACTCAGTCCAAGCTAGTCCAAGCTATTGTGTGGATCGTCCGCTCAATTGAAGACCCGAGGCTCGACCCATGTGGGCGCGCGTCCATCCTTCGAGTTCCTTTCGATCCACAAGGGATTCCTCATCCTCTAATTCCATTCGGCCCATGAGGGTACCCTCCGACCTCCTCCCTTGATATTTACTAGATGTATTGAGGAATGGCCTTCAGCGTTTTTGGGCCGGCTCAATTACTCGTTCCATCCAATACCCCAACTAGTTCATATTAATGAATAATACGGAGTAACTCTTACAATAACTTTTACATGGAGGGTATAGAATGGTATTAAATCCCTTCTTTAATTTATAAGGGGTTATTTATAGTAAGCATATGGTAGTTGGGCTCAGTGACGTGTTGCTATAATGCTATCCTATTTGCCGAGCCATCTCATCACCTATTTCTGGACGGATCTGCACATTAAATGTTCTCCCCACCAATTCTGAGTTTCCCACCAATTTTCATGACATGGTCAATCTGTCCACTGCATCTATGCATGTCAATGACCTTCTGTACAGCCGAGCGTCCGCATGGGGTAACCGAATGCAAGCACCGTTAGGCTTGTCCTTCTGTGGATACTGCTCGGCCCAACTAGGGCGTTCGCCTCCTCTCTTGATTGCTAGTGTGGACATCTCGAGCTCAACCCTTCTCCGGTCTTGTTCGGCCTTCTGGCCCCGACCTTGTGTTTATAGCGGGCAAGGCAGAACGGTAGCCTAAAGATGTTGGGTCGGCCCAATATCCCAATACTAATTGCAAGATAGTCAATAACTAAATAGTTATAAATTCTGTTGTACAAATCAACAAGTCGGCCGGTATTTTAAACTTTGTAATTAGTAAAGTATGTATACTTTTATAATTTGTAATAAAAGTGGTATAACAAGTTATGATTAAAAAAGTAATTACTAATAATAGTTGGTTGTTATTAATATTATTGTTACTACTACTATTATTATTATTATTATTATTTATTATTATTATTATTATTATTATTATTATCACTACGTATTATTTATTAAGAAATGATTTGAAACCAGAGTTGATTGTTCTGGTTGCAAATTTTAGGAGAATTAAACAAGACTAATGGACCTCTGGTTCCAAATCGGAGGCACTATGCTATTTCGATTCCTGTTTCGATTCTGAATAGAAAATCAACAGTCCCAATTTTAGTTCTGATTTAATTGTAAACTGAATAAATTCTATTATTCGTCTTGCAAGTATCGCATCAATTTCACAATTAATCCATGTCTTTTACTACTCTTGGTTAGGCCTGGACTCGGGCCGGTGGGCCTCGGGCCAGGAAAGTTGGGCCCGAGCCCGAACCGCCGGTGGGCGGTTCCGGTCCCGGTTCCGGGCCAAACCGGGCCGGACCGGACCGGGCCGGGCCTAACCGGTTCTAATTTTTTTTTTGGCTCTTCTATTTAACCCCCAACCCCTCCCCCTCAACCCCAAACCACCTCAAATGGCTCAAAATACCTAATCCAACCCAAAACTTAAAAAAAATTCAAAAAAAAAAAAATTAAAACCCGGCCCGAACCGGGCCCGAACCGGCCGGGCCGGTTCACCAAAAACTGGGCCCGAGCCCGGACCGCCCAGCAGCCGGGCCGGGCCGAACCAAACCGGTGGACCCACCGGGCCCCGGGCCGGGCCAAACAGTAACCGGGCCGGGCCGGTTCCGGGCCGGGCCGCCCGGCCCGAGTCCACCCCTACTCTTGGTACATGACTTGTTCTACGCTCATACATCTTTCTTATATGACAATATTTATGGCAGTTAAAGACTTAAAGTTGTCAGAGAGACATCTAGAAAATGGACATTAAGACCACAAGTAATCAAGAAACTTTATTCAAATTCTAAAAGTGGACAAAATGAAACACACGGACTAAGGGAGTGTTTGCAACTGCTTCTGCTTAAAAAAAGCACTTTTGGAGATGTATGGAAAAAGTGATTAGTAGGAAAAGTTGATAATGTTTGAGAAAAAAGTGATTTTGAAAAGTAAAAGTTGGTAGTGTTTGATAAAATAAGTGCTTTTGTGTAATAGAAAAGGGAAAAGCACTTTTCACACGCAAGCCGAGAAAAAGTAAAAATTGGTAGTGTTTGGTAAATAAGTGCTTTTTTAAACCAAAAGCTGAGAAGTGCTTTTTTTTAAGTGATTGCAAACACTCCCTAAATGTGAAATTGAAATAAAACGTTCAAAAGTGGGGTATTATATTGCAATTGTGGGAGGAATAATGTACAACGCGGGTTATTCAACTCTAACGCGGGTTATTCAACTATGACTCCTCCCATGCCAAGTCCCAACATATGAAGTCATCATCTGTTGCTAAAATGAAAGCCGAGTATTGAAAGGAAAATAAGACTTGAACGAGCAAAGTGGCTGCCCTATAAGTTCACTCCACACATTTTGCTCTGTTCATCATATATATATACTTCATACCCGGCCTTTCATCCCACTTATACTACTAGGTATTTAGGCCTCCACTCCACCTCTCAGGCAATTGCATGCTTAGAATATCCTCCCTGGGTAGCCTGCCTCGTTTGTAAGCGCGAGAAGGTTGGTCCGTTCCTTGTTCTTCCTAATGACTAGGTACGCAATGCTACTCAAGTAGACCAGTAATGCTGAGAAGCCCAAGACTCCGCACAACAGCTTGCTCGCGACCTTAAAATGGCTCGTCTTGAGGGTGGTAACTAATTTCTCCCCTAGGTAATAGATGTTGATTCCCATGATCAACGTCCCGACTACCCAAGTGATTGCAGAAATCTGTATTGACAAACAAGCATTGTGTAAGATAAAGAACGGTATTGATCACGGTCTTTCATGTTGATGTTCACTAAGGTTATGTCATGTCCTATATATAGGAGATGATGATCGACATTGGGTCAGGTTTCTGCCCAAAATATTCTTCTTGTTTCTTAGTAGCTTTTCTTTTTGGTTTATCCCGCAATAATCTTTGCATTTCGCAAAAAAAAATGTTTAGTATTATTTCTCTTTTCATCTCAAATCTTAACACCGTATTTTCATTTTCAAACACACTACATGCCTTCTTATATGCCTATCTAGACAAAACGCGTGTGGAGTTAGAAGAAACGTACAACTTTGGAGTTGGCATGTGAGCCCATCTTGGTGTTGCTGCTGGTGAACTTGAGCAATGGAATGAGGGCAAATGGGAGCTCAAACGATAAGATCATCTATCATACCAATAATAAAATTTGGGGTCAATTTAGATTTGGAAAGAGAGAAAAAACAGGTGACCTTCCATTAGAAAGAAAACTTTGCATGTTGTGTGTGTGTGTGTGTCTAGGAAATGACAGAGCAAAGCAGGGCAAGGGAGAATACCGATGCAATAATGATCAAGTCACCCGCCCCAGCTGAGCCACCAATGATTGAAACTACTAGACTTGGAACAATGGCTAAGCCCCGAGTAAGCATGTTCCTAATCCAAGGCTTCAACCTTAAATCAAGAAACCCCTGCAACCTCTCCAAGGAAATAAACAAATAAATGGTGGTAAAAACAACCGCTGAGGGAGGACTAAGTAGCTAGCTTGAATGTATGTAAATAGCCAGCTGCCTGCCAGCCCAATTGATGGGAATACGAAAACATATTGCTTGCCTGCATAACATATTGTCCAGCATAAGTCCCCGTTATTGTAGAGCTCTGTCCCGATGCTAGTAATGCAATCGCAAAAATCTTTGAACTCCAATTGCCTAAAACATTCTGTACAATATGATTTGAAAATATATAACCAATACCACACACAGAAACCTAAAAGAGAGAAGAAGATTGCTTACTTTCAGTAAAAAAGAGGCTTTGTTGAGGTCCAGGTCAGAGCAGCTGTCCCGATACTCCTTGCTCAAATCCGGGGAATTGCAAACTGCGCCGCTTACCGAGATGACACAAATGTTAATAATAAACGCCACTATTAAGGCTATGCCACTCTCGATCCTGTAACATGTGCATGCCTCCTGCAAAAATAATTCTCACATCCGTTGTTTGCTTGAAAAATATCCATAGTGCTTAGAAGGGCAGCTGATTGGTGCCTAGAACCTAGGGGCGGGCATTGCTAGAACAAATGCTAAATGTATAAGCACACACAATTTTTCCCAAATGCTTTGGACAATATTCAAGGATAAAAATTCCAAAAATGTGCGGTGGTAAAGTGCCTGTGTGCATGTTTTAATTTATAGTCCCACAACTTTAAGAACTAGCAGGAATTTTGTCCCATATGTAAGCCAATACTTTAATATTCTGGAAAACGTTTCTTGTTCTTTTTTATCTGCTTTGGTTTTTTCACACTTCCTCCGTATTTAAAAGTTTGCTACACTTTCCTATTAGGGATGTATTTAAAAGTTTGCTACACTTTCTCTTTTTGTCTTTTTGGCAAGTTTTCCTATAAAAATACCCAACTACCCTTACTTTTTCTACTTTTTATCTTCTCTTTCCTACTTTTTCACCTTTTCTCCTACTTTTTCTACACTATTCATTACCCCTACTATTTCCCCCTTAAATATTGTGCCAAAACCTAGTATATAGTGATCTTTTAAATACGGAGGGAGTTATATTTTATAAACTTTTTTATTTTACTTTTGCAGATTCTTTTTTAATGTTTCAGGCGGAAAAAGGGACAAAATATGGTCAGTTTATTAATGTTGTGGGATAAATTTGGTGAATTCCGAACTTAAAAGAGTTAAGTTACAAGATTAATTAACCCTGCTAGTTTCTTGAATTTGTAAGACTACATTGGGTAATTCCATTTCAACATACAGTACCTCTTGCGCACAGCACTTCAGCTTAAGAAAATTCTGGCCTACATCTTTAATCATTTGAACACAACTAGAGCTTGTATTGCTCACTATGAGCCTAAATAAGCTGGCCCTTTAGCAGACATTTACATTTCTTTTAGAATGGTGCACCAATAAGAAAGGAAAGTTCAGCTACAGCCTAGATACCACACATTTGCAAAGAAAGGAAAAGAAACACATACATTAATTCCATTTGTAGATCTTGGGATTTTTCTTGAAAGCACGAGAGCGGAATGGAGAAAGAGGTTGTGCCTAGAACCATTGGAAAAGGAGTATTGACATGTGAATACTGCCATAATTCAACATCCGGAAAGGATAAAGAAACACAAACACGCACTTACGGCATAACCATAGCACCAAGAAGGGAAATGGCAAGCTTGGTAGCCCCGGTTCCCTTGAGTTGAGGAACAAACAGCCCTTCAACAACTTCAGATGATTCTGGTTTTGCGTATCCAAGCTCCACACAAAAGCACACCACGATAGTGAACACTAAGAATGCTATGAATATCTCAAGCTTCCTCACCTGCAAACCAAGAAAGCCCAAATTAAGGAACATGTTAGAGCACTTTCAGACGTAACATCATCGAAAATGAAGAATTATGGGACCAAATATGCATTCCCCCCCCCCCCAATGTTTTGCAAGGTTATGCGTATGTACTACCTACCCCATATTGTTGTAGCAGCAGCAGAACCAATGTGCTGAATCCTGTGATAAGTACACCACACCACAGAGGTATTTTGAAGAGCATGTTCAAAGCAAATGCCGTTCCAATCACTACACACGAACACCAGACCCAACATAAGTTTGCAAAGTTCTCCGTACTCTAATAAATATATTAGAGCCCGTTTGGTAGCACGAAAATCGGCTGTTTGAGCTGATTCTGCTGAAATTTATGAAGTTCTGGCTGAAATAGCTACATTGGCTGATTCTGCTGATTTAAGAAAAAACTACTACCTTCGTCCCCTTTTAGTTTGCCAACTTTGACTTTTCCAGTCAAAGATGATAAACTTGGATCCATTATTTTAACTAATATATTTATGTAAAAGTTAATAAATTTATACTTTTATGATAGTATTTTCAACAAAGAACATATCCATATAATTTTCTTATTATCAATATTACCGTGTATAAATATATAATTGGTCAAAGTTGAACAACTTTGACTTGAAAATTTGTGTTTGGCAAACTAAAAAGGGACGGAAGGAGTATTTTAAAAATATATTTTATTAATAAAATGAAGAAAAAATTGTATGTAAAAATAGTTAAAATCGCCATTGACAGTAACTTCAGCCAATACAGCCAGAAAAGTAACTCCAACCTTACTTTTTATGCTTATTACACAATTCAACGCGCGAAAGCAAAAATTACGTGTTTGGTGAAAAAGTTGGCTGATAAGCATAATCCGAAAAACAGTGTTGTCAAACGGCCTCTTAGTCTTTGTTGTGGCACGCGAATTATGACAACAGTTTGGTTGAGTTTTCTTTACGAAGAGATGAAAACTATCCAAGAATATAAAAAGAAGTATATTGAGGAATAGTTCAGATTAACTAATCAATGTTCTAATTATTAACCTTCAGGAATGTCACATGCAACAATGGCAACTTCGGCAAGAACCCATAGGAGGAAATTTGGCACCTTGTGGTATTCCTTTCTACAGTGCTCTGCTAAATGCTTCCCTGCCAAATGTGTGTGTGTATAAATCAAGGGCATATGTACGTACATATCCATGTAATTATATGGATTAAGAAAATGTGACACCTGTGACAACTCCGAGGTTTGCTGCAAGTGATTGGATTAGAAGGGCTGCAAATGATGCCAATAGTATGATCCACAGTAACTGCAAAATAAAGATATATACATAAAATGCTACTACGAGGATGTTCCATGTATTGTCATGTTGACGAATAGAAGTACTTAAATAGTACGAATCATAATCCATATCACATAAAAAAAGTTATGTTGTTGATTTGCATGATAGGTGCATAAAACATATGCTTACCCCATATTTGTATTGGGCCCCGGCCTGTAGGTCTGTTTGAACTGCAAACCATATTTTTTCAAGTAAGAAAATGGTTACTCAAAGAAAAGGGAAAAAAATCTTTGTAAAAAGCAATACCAAATAAAAGAGATCATACAGTTTCCTGGGTCAATGTAAGCTATACAAACAAGGAAGCCTGGACCCAAATATGCAAAGAAGTTTTTCCAGCTCGTCTTCTGTATGTGTATAATATATATATAAGAACTACATAATAAGTACCATCCATCTTACAACTCATGACAATTTAACAAAATGTGCAAAAGAAATTCATGCCAAATTCTCCCTTGTTGCAATATAAAATAAATGTTTAAAGACTAATGTCCCATTTGGTAGTAAAGGTAATGTCATTGATGCGACTGTTGCACTTTTTTAAATGAAAAGCGATACCAAAGAGAACCTAAGTGCCTAACTCTCTTTCTTCCTAAATTTTCCCCTCCACCATCCAAAACATAAGCTGAAGCCAGTGAAGGTCATCCATGGTGTAGCTTACAGTGATATTCATATCATGTTCAGTTATCTTCGCAGCATGCACCATAAAATTTAACAAACACATACGACTAGAAAAAAGGTTCACTCCTGACACTAAACATACTGAAAGATAACTAGAAATGATTTTTAAATGAGAATAGTACTATCCCCAAATGGGCCCTACCTGATACCCGTTATATGAATTACAAACAGAAGAACATGATCAGACATCGAGTTCATCAGGTCCATGAAAATCTTTAACACAAAGAAAGAATAGACAGAGTCCAGGTGTAAAAAGTATTCTCATGTCAAGACCAAGAAAAGAGTGGTCAGTAGATAACAGACAAACAAAAGGGAACCCACCAAAAGAAGAAGAAGAAGAAACAGAGGCAATTCCACTAATTTAATATCAGAATATGTTCCGTTTTCTTTATTTGTATTCCCATTGAATGAAAGGAAAATGATAGCATCATAGCACCGAGTCACAGACACATAAACTCTAAGCGACTCTTTTGCAAGCATCTTCTTTTTATGTGGATAAATACGAATCGTCCTCTCAGCCAATTTCATTTTACTAAACCGTGGCATATTTTAGGTGGATGGATGAGAACCGTCTAAACATGTAAAATATAATGCAAAAAAGAATTGCTTCTTTCGGTTAGAGTGATGGAAGAACAGTAAAGCCAATGAACTTGATGTTTTACATTTACTTGGTTTGATTAAACAATGTTTAATAATTTAACCTATGAGGCCAATAGACACGAACTAGAAGTTTTCTTAGGCTAGGGCTATACTTGAACAAATAATTACTACTTGTCAAACCCAGACTTCTGGATGCCCTTGGAAGCATATTTCAATCAAGATGGAATGGGATGAACCATAAAGCCTATCCTTCATAGATTATCATTTTTACGAAGAGGAACACGACAATACTCTTCAAGACGTGATTTTTTCCCCAAGAAACACGATAGAGCACTGTATGTTGTCATGGGTGAGAGAAAGAGAGACTGACATCAGCAACGACAATCTGGTCGTATTCAATGAGTGGCTCACTGGGGAGGCTCCGATTACCGGTGCCGGTCATGAACTGAGATTGGGTCGATTCTACTAAAGCAGCCATTTTCTCCTGTCACCTTTTTCTCTAAACCAACGCTTCAGCTCAGCGACTCTTTCTTTCAACAGCAAAGGAGACGAGTCAGATCAGTAAATAAAAAGGCATCAGGCCCGGGGATCCTAAAGTCAGAGTAATAATATTGTAAGTTGTAACCGGCCAGTACCTAATATTGCGTTCGTATGATGTACATGTATATATAGAGAAGTGAAAGAATAGTAGTACACGTGTAGGTGCAGATATTCTTATCAAAATTGCTATGGGTACCTCAATTACTACCCCATTTATACCCCATATATAAACCATCCCTCTTTTTTTACCTCACTCCCTTCCCCATCTCAAATTTTTACCCCCAACTCTTCTTTCCTTCCAAAACTCCAGCCCAACCAGCCCCTACTCCCGGCTTACTCCCCTGCGACTTCGAACCACCCAGATCTGAGCATCCCGCCACAACACCGGCCAACACCACCTCTCGTTTCGCCCTCCCCTCATCTCACCTTCCCCTCTTTTGCTTATTTTCGTTTCAAAGAGAGAGAGAGAGAGAGAGAGAGAGAGAGAGAGAGAGAGAGCTACAATGCTATGGTGAAAGGAGGTCATCCTGGAACTCCATTTGCAACCCTCTTCAATGGAGTTGAGCTACCACTCTCTGCACATTTTCTTCCCAGTATTCCTCTTTTCTCCCCTTTTTCATCTTTCTTCATTTTTTATTATTTATTTTTTATTTAATGTGTAATAATCTATATATCTTGTAATGTTGAATTGTTTAATATGTTGTGTTATTGTAATGGATTTGTGATGTTTATTCTTAAAATTTAGTCCAACTATTCTGAGTCATTAATATGCCCATAACATGTTTGTTGAAATGCCTATACGAATTTTTTGTTTATGTCCTCCTATGTTTTAAGGATTTTGGATTTTGTTTTACTAGTATAGTTTTCAACTTTAAATTGTGCATATTGTGGTCTGGTGTATTACTTGAAGTGCATATATGGTTGATTTCTCTTAGTAGTTGGTAATGGCTTAGTAGTTTAAAATTGGTTTGTAGTTGTCTGTCATGTGAAATTAGTTGTCTGGCAAGCCATTTGAGTTGTCTGTCACTTCATTTTGAACTGTTGAAACTAGGTTTGTAGTTGTCTGTCATGTGAAATTAGTTGTCTGGCAAGCCATTTGAGTTGTCTGTCACTTCATTTTGAACTGTTGAAACTAGGTTTGTAGTTGTCTGTCATGTGAAATTAGTTGTCTGTCAAGCCATTTGAGTTGTCTGTCACTTCATTTTGAACTCTTGAAACTAGGTTTGTAGTTGTCTTTCATGTGAAATTAGTTGTCTGGCAAGCCATTTGAGTTGTCTGTCACTTCATTTTGAACCGTTGAAACTATGTTTGTAGTTGTCTGTCATGTGAAATTAGTTGTCTGACAAGCCATTTGAGTTGTCTGTCACTTCATTTTGAACTGTTGAAACTAGGTTTGTAGTTGTCTGTCATGTGAAATTAGTTGTCTGGCAAGCCTTCTGAGTTGTCTGTATGGTATTCAATTCAACCTTTATTACAATACATAAATTGTCTGTATTAGTGTCGTAAATATCTGTCTTGGTTATACTTGTCTGTCTACAGGTCCGAAGAATGTGGAGCGATGGTTGCACATGCCGTTCGTTTGTATAGGAACAAGAGATGACAATACGCCGTTCGTTTGTAGCGATTGAATAGGGTGGAAAAAGCATAGGAATTCCTTAGAAATGTGGGAATGTTTTTATGGGTTGTTTAATGTCTGTGTGACGAGACAACTTTATTTGTTTGTGTAAGTAGAACAAATGTCTGTATTCGCATGCAAGTATTTCATAGATGTATTATAATGTACGTTTGATGAGTTGAGTAAGTGTTAATGTAGTTTTTATATAAATGTGAGTGCTTTTGTTTGGAAACATTGTTGTATTTGGCCGAATATAAAGATAATTGTTTGTCTGTAGAGACGAAATGATAATTGTTGAAGGGAACATGTATACTTTTCTAAAATAACAGATAAAGAGAAGTGCACAGAAGTCACGCCTCAAATGAAATTCGTGATTGGACCGTATTAACGCCCTGTGTCTATGATAAGGGGTCGGATTTGAACCTTCGGTTATTGTAAATTAGCAGTGTATGTAGTTTGGAATGAACAATTACTTGTGGTCTTGAAAATTATGTGTTTGTGTTATGGTATATTTCTTCTACAGCTAGACAACTTAATTGCCAGATAGACAAAATGTATACCTAAAAATACTATACGCACACACGTACACACAACTATGTCATACACAGACAGATAAATTGCATCCGTAGACAGACACTACATAATAATTAAATAAAAACATATGTAAAAGTTCACAACATAACAAAAAAGGTTTCATTTATACTTGACAACCTAACATAACCCAATGTACAACATTGCATAACTACATACTCGCATTTACTTGAATGTCACATTTGTAAGGTTTGCGACATATTCAAAAACAAAAAAAAAATCTCATCCAATTATTGAACATTGTACAACATTAACATTAACGGTTGTACAATATTCCGCACATTTTGTAGACAGACATCCATAATGTTTGCAACTGCATTAAACAACCCATAAAAAATTTCCACATTTCTAAGGAATTCTTATGCTTCTTCCACCCTCTTCAATCACCACAAACGAACAGCGTATTGACATCTCTTGTTCTACATGTCTGCATATTCACACTATGGAACCAAGGGCTTTCCCTTTAACAGGTGCTCTGCAAAGGATGCAACCATCGCTCCACATTCTTCGGACCTGTAGACAGACAAGTATAACCAAGACAAATATTTACGACACTTATACAGACAATTTATGTATTGTAATAAAGGTTGCCAGACAACTAATTTCACATGACAGACAACTACAAACCTAGTTTCAACAGTTCAAAATGAAGTGACAGACAACTCAAATGGCTTGCCAGACAACTAATTTCACATGACAGACAACTACAAACTTAGTTTCAACAGTTCAAAAATAAAGTGACAGACAACTCAAATGGCTTGCCAGACAACTAATTTCACATGACAGACAACTACAAACCTAGTTTCAACAGTTCAAAATGAAGTGACAGACAACTCAAATGGCTTGCCAGACAACTAATTTCACATGACAGACAACTACAAACCTAGTTTCAACAGTTCAAAATGAAGTGACAGACAGCTCAAATGGCTTGCCAGACAACTAATTTCACATGACAGACAACTACAAACCTAGTTTCAACAGTTCAAAAATAAAGTGACAGACAACTCAAATGGCTTGCCAGACAACTAATTTCACATGACAGACAACTACAAACCTAGTTTCAACAGTTCAAAATGAAGTGACAGACAACTCAAATGGCTTGCCAGACAACTAATTTCACATGACAGACAACTACAGACCTTGTTTCAACAGTTCAAAATGAAGTGACAGACAACTCAAATGGCTTGTCAGACAACTAATTTCACATGACAGACAACTACAAACCTAGTTTCAACAGTTCAAAAATAAAGTGACAGACAACTCAAATGGCTTGCCAGACAACTAATTTCACATGACAGACAACTACAAACCTAGTTTCAACAGTTCAAAATGAAGTGACAGACAACTCAAATGGCTTGCCAGACAACTAATTTCACATGACAGACAACTACAAACCTAGTTTCAACAGTTCAAAATGAAGTGACAGACAACTCAAATGGCTTGCCAGACAACTAATTTCACATGACAGACAACTACAAACCTAGTTTCAACAGTTCAAAAATAAAGTGACAGATAACTCAAATGGCTTGCCAGACAACTAATTTCACATGACAGACAACTACAAACCTAGTTTCAACAGTTCAAAATGAAGTGACAGACAACTCAAATGGCTTGCCAGACAACTATTTTCACATGACAGACAACTACAAACCAATTTTAAACTACTAAGCCATTACCAACTACTAAGAGAAATCAACCATATGTGCACTTCAAGTAATACACCAGACAACAATATGCACAATTTAAAGTTGAAAACTATACTAGTAAAACAAAATCCAAAATCCTTAAAACATAGGAGGACATAAACAAAAAAATCGTATAGGCATTTGAACAAACATGTTATGGGCATATTAATGACTTAGAATAGTTGGACTAAATTTCAAGAATAAACATCACAAATCCATTACAATAACACAACATATTAAACAATTCAATATTACAAGATATATAGATTATTACACATTAAATAAAAAATAAATAATAAAAAATGAAGAAAGATGAAAAAGGAGAGAAAAGAGGAATACTAGGAAGGAAATGTGCATAGAGAGTGGTAGCTCAACTCCATTAAAGAGGGTTGCAAATGGAGTTCCAGGATGACCTCCTTTCACCATAGCATTGTAGCTCTCTCTCTTTGAAACGAGAATAAGCAAAAGAGGGGAAGGTGAGACGAGGGGAGGGCGAAACAAGAGGTGGTGTTGGTCGGTGTTGTGGCGGGATGCTCGGATCTGGGTGGTTCGAAGTCGCAGGGGAGTAAGCCAGGAGTAGGGGCTGGTTGGGCTGGAGTTTTGGAAGGAAAGAAGAGTTGGGGGTAAAAATTTGAGATGGGGAAGGGAGTGAGGTAAAAATGAGGGATGGTTTATATATGGGGTATAAATGGGGTAGTAATTGAGGTACCCATAGCAATTTTGTATTCTTATTTCAAATAGCACATTTGATAATCATGTTTTTCCGTTTATCAAGTTTATCTGTTAATTTTTTTTATCAAATACATAACTTTTGATTTTGCACTGAATTGTGAAATAATAAGAAAAATAAGGTCGAAATTACTTTTCTGACTGTATTAGCTGAAGTTACTATAAAAAATTATTTTAGCTATTTTTTCATATATTTTGTTCTTTATTTTATTAATAAAATATATTTTAAATATAATTTTTTCATATATCAGCAGAATTAGCCAATTCAGCCACTTTGGTTAGAACTTCATAAATTTTAGCAGAAACAGTCAATACAGTCGATTTGGGTATTACCAAACGGGCTCTAAAATGTGTGAGATACTTCTAAAGTTCCTATAAAGGAGCAAATTAGCGCGTCAATGTGATATGAGTTAAAATAAAAATACTATGATCTAAAATTGAATATAATGCATTTTTACTATGATATAATCACAACAAATAATAAATTTGTGTTTGTTAAATAACTATATATTAAAGTGTCCATCATCATATATTATATATTTATTTACTCTTTAGTCTATATGAAGGTTTTTTATTGCAGCAGGGTTGCGATTGCGATCACTCGGTTGCGGCTATTGCGGCCAATGTAGTGTAATTTAATTTTACGTTCGAACGAAATAAGAAACAAATAGTGTTGACGTCCTGAATTCCTGATACTATCCTATATGGCCCCGTTGCGGTTTCATTGGGTTACGTAGTAGATTTTCCCCGTAAATTGAAATTCCACCTCCATTGTGGTTCGATGAGGTTGCGCTATGGAATGTAACCTCAATATAATAAATTCAATATAATTGTGTAAAAAAGAAATACAAACACATAAAGATCAGACTCGAAATGCAAATATGACTATTTTTTGACTAAGCAATGTTTGTGTTAGATCAAAATGGAAAAAAACATATTTTTATTGTTCCAAGATCGGCAATTATCTATATGAAATAAGATGCAATTTTGCATGTTAAAGTTTTTAATAAAATGAGAAGATGTCTATGAACCTTACAGCTTTGACGGCGGCTCAACCGCCGCCACCACCTCCTAATGCCTGGAATGGCAGATCATTTGCAGAAGTTGAATAATAATTCTGGGTCTTTCTCTACGAAGATCCATTCTCGTTTTAAGGGTTTTCCGTCTATTAGCTTTCCAGATAATGAGGCAGAAATTTTAGCTAATAGACATATACATTCTCTTGTTGGTTATTTTTCCCATGGCCGTCCCAGTCTCGATGTGCTGAGGAAGAACTTTGAACGGTATGGTTTCAAAGGTTCATTTCATTTGGGAGTCCTGGAACGTAAACATGTCTTGATACGTTTTGATCGAGAAGAGGATTATCTTCGCTGCTAGAATAGACAGGTTTGGAATATTCTTGGTAAGGATATGAGGGTGACTAAATGGTCACCTAGTTTTCGGCCGAACGTTGAATCTCCTATAGTCCCAATTTGGGTTACTTTTGAGGGTTTGCCCATTCATATACATGATAAAGCGAGCTCTTTTTTATATTGCTGGCCTGCTAGGAAGACCTTTGAAGATTGATTTGGCCACAGCTCCGTTGGCCAGGCCTTATCAAGCGCGGATTTGTGTTGAGATTGACCTTACGAAGGAGATGCCACAGAAGATCTAGATCAACTGTGGCAAGATTGGTTTTTCTCAATCTGTGGTTTATGAAAATCGGCCCTCATATGGTTCTCTTTGCTTCCATTTGGGACATTCTGATAAAAACTGTCCCATACATTCCAATCATCTTACAAAGGAAGGCTCAGCTCCCAAGGCCCTGCCTCCTAAGGAGAACACACTGCCTAATGAAGCTTCATTGCCAAAGGAGAGATGGATTATCAAACATAACTTAGACAATATCCCAAGGGCAGACAAGGCAATTATTACATATCAGGATAAAGGGAAGGGGTTTATTCAATCAAGCATTAATACTGATCAGCCTTCCTCCTCTAACACTAAGGAGGATGACTCTTTGGTGGAGGAAATTGTTTTGGAGGATCCACCCACTCCTAAGCTGCCATCCAAAAGTGTTGCAGAATCTGAGGCTGATCACTCTCAGAAAATGGACATCCTGATCCCTTCTATTAAAAAACCTGCACAATGGAATTAGGAGCTGCAAGTTTTACTTCAATCTGACATTCCAGGAATTTCAAAAGCTAAAGTTCACTCAATGAAGGACAATCTGGAACTCAAACCTCTGTTGAAGCATTTGGATGTTGATCTTGAATTGTTAGCTAAGCAATATGATTCAGA